GACGGAGCTCACGCAGCGCAAAGTCGGCCCGTTCCCGTCGCTGGCGCTCACTGGTGACGCGGCCAAGGGTGGCACGTGACCGAGTTCGACTCGCGCCCCGTGTGCGCCAATGAGACCCCGCGGCACTACGCGCCACAGGGCGACGCGCTCGTCGCAGTCGCGGCCGCGCGACGGCCGGTACAGTGGGCCGTCCGATCTCGAGCTGCAGGAGATGTTTCTGCCCGCGGGGTACCCCGACAGCGTCAGCGACGACTACGTGCGCTTCCAGCTCTGGGACACGACGCAGGCCATGTGCAGCTACTTGCGCGGGGTCTTAGCGACCCAATCGGTGCTCCAGAGCGTCGGCGTGGGCGACGACAGCGCGACGCCATTGGCCGCCGCGCTGCGGTGGGTGCTGCGCGACGGCTCGGGCATGATCGGCGGCCTGACGTTCGCCTACTTTGTCGGGCCCAAGTTTGACCTCAACGTCAAGCGCTGGCGGCTCTTTGCCGACGTGGCCAACGACGCGGGGCTCACGCTCGACATGATTGCGCCGCTGATTCCCGGCCTAGTGACTGAAGTGCTCTGTCTCTCGAGCATCTGCAAGACCATGTGCGGCGTGGCGTCCGGCGCCACGGGTCGTCGCTCATGACGCACTTTGCCAAGCGGGACAACATGGCCGACTGTGCGGCCAAAGAGGGCTCGCAGGAGACAGCTGTTCGGCTGCTCGGACTCATTGTCGGCATGTACTTTGCCAACGCCGTGAACGCGTCGCAGTTTGCCGTGTGGGTGGCCTTCCTCGTGCTCACGATCGTGCACGTGTACGCCAACTACAATGCCGTGTCGTGTCTCTGCATTCCCACGGTGAACCTCTTGCGAGGGCTGGTCCTGGTCGAGCGCTTCTTAGCGTCAGGGAACAACGCCACTGGCGTGGACAATGGTGCAGACCAGGTAAAAAATAAGTACTTGCAGCACGGTATACTGCAACCGATGATGATGACGGTGTCTCATGCGCTGATGCTGTTGCTGTCTTTTTTGTGCGTGTGTGTTTGTTTGCTTTTGTACCGTGCCAAGTATTCCATTCGCAGCGTGAACCAAAAGGAACCTGTGTTTAGCAACCCTGTGCTGCCAGTGACGTCGCAACTGACAATGGGGTCGCAGCTCCACGAGGCTGTTTCGACCACGCAGGATCTTGAGAAACTGCTGCAAATCTACGCGTACGTTGATTGTGTCGCCGCTTGTAGTTCTTGCGGCTGCTTTTTTACATAGGCTTGCTCCTTGTACTGATCTGCTTTCGCATGCTACGCGTTTGCAGCGAAGAGAAGTTCCTCTTGAATGTGGTAGAAAACCATGTGCACGTCGTGTTCCAAGCAGACGCGCAACCCAACGACGAGCTGCGTGCGTTCTTTCAAGCCGTTCTGGTCCTCCAGGCGCTGGCGTCGGCCCGGGCGCCATCTCCTTCGTCAAGAGGTGGCAATAACGGGCATTTTTATCTGCTCGAATCCGCGCACCATCAAATGGTGGCCGACTTTCCGCTCTTCCTGCAAGTGCTGGAGAACAACGGATGGCGCACGCACATGTACTTGCTCAATACGTCTCCGTGGCGCATCAAGATCGGTGAACGGACCTGAGCAAGTGCAAGTAGCAACGACCGTGTCTCTGCTCGTAGCCACTGGTGACGAAAGAGCACAATTTGCATGTGGACTGACTTGTGTTGCGACCGCTGTCAGCCGTTTTGACTTTATGGCGGTAATTTGTGTTTCAAGTACATGCACTCTGAAGTGGTGCCATTCAATATGAAAAATATTGCACTGTAGTTTGTTGATCCGGTGACCAGGAGATGTGATGGAGAGAGATTCCGTAGCAAGGACGTCGTCTCTCTCATTCTCTCTCTCTCTCTCTTATTGACCGACCCCGTCGACAAAAGCAATGGCCCTTGCACTGAGTAGCGACTTGCACGAACGGATTGCACCGAAAAGTACCTGGGCTGCTGACTCGAAGACCCCCCTCACAAGTCGTTCAATATGAAAGGAAATTGCTGACATTGGAAAGCTTCTGCAGATGTGCCGACTGTCAAACTGACGATCGGTACGTCTGCAAAACGGTAGCATCGTAGCAGACTTTTGTGCCGACTTGTATGTACCTCCTATCCGAGGTGCTTGTCCTTTACCCATCATTGAGGTCCGCTTCATCGATAACATTTACGAGTTTATCAGGTACGTATGAAACTTCGTGTCATCGAGAGCAATGGTTGGCAAGCTCACCGTTTGCATCTCTATGCTGAGCATCTGACGCCGGGGTGCTGCCCAGCGTTGTAAAAAAGAGCGCCACGATCGTCTTACTACCAAATGAGACACTGGGGTGGGGCGGTATGAGACGTGGCTGCTGACAACTATGTGCGAGTACTTCCTTTGCCCCATAGAGAGGCAAATGCAAAGCTGATAACCGGCAGCTCAACTGACACTTACTTGACGTACAAGTTTGCACGTGGCTGTCCTGACCTGATAACAAGCGCTTCTCGCCTCTATCGTTCGACTGTAGTCGTACGGACTTACGCGCACCTTCGTCAATGGTGTGATGAACCTTTGCACTGCCTCAGACCAGCTGCTAGCCTGATCGCGTGTACATGAATAAAACGTCTGACGCTGGCTCTGAATGCCGTCGTCGACAACTACACGTTTACTTGCCGTAATTAGTCGGAAAAGAAGACGGGCCTTCAAACACGAGAAGCGATTGTGTCTACTGAATCGGTTCGCTAACAATGCGGTACAAATCTCGTCGGATCTCTATCCGGTGGTATCCGGTGCTGTTGTGCGTACATACGTTCACTTCGAATGTAGCCCTCAATGACACCTCGTTCATATCCGCCACCGGCGTGTACACTCAGTCAAAAGCGACGTGAAGCCAGCATCGGGTCGGATCAGCAAAAGCATACAAACGCCAGCAAACAAACGCTATAAGTCCATTAAGACTTCCAAAACTTTGCAGATAAATAATAGTTCCTACAACCTAATGCCTTCCCACTCAATCGGCACGCGTTCCAGCCACATCACCGCCCCCGATCTTGGCCGCCAGAGCTGCGATTGCTCGTCGTCAAACTGCTGAAACTGCCAAGGCGCTTGAGCTGCTGCGGCGTAAAAGAACCGACAAGCGACTTGGGTGTTGTCCCAAATCGTGAGGCACTGCGGCCACTAGTAGTGGAGCTAACCTCGTGCTCACTCGAATGGCGCTCCAACTGATGCGCAGCTCTTGCATGCGCTTTTGCTTCCTCCTCCTCCGCTTCCTCCTTTTCCTTCTCATAACTCATGAACAAATCCGTCCTGCAGAAGTTGCTCACGAACGCATCGAAATCGTGTGATGACGAAAACCACGACTTGATTTCCTGTCGCTTCGAGTGACCACTGCTGCTTAGACTCTTCTTCTTCTTGCTGCTGCCCGGACCGGTCTTACGCTCTCGCTCTACACATAACACCGACAGCTTGCCGTAAAACTCGCGCATACCGCTCACAAATGTCGCAGCACACTCCAAATCGTAATGCTTTCGCTTGTGTAGGCCATTCGGATCTGAAGACCGCACACGTGGCTGAAGCAATTGGTAGTTACTGTCCGCTTCAGATACAGCGCCTGCCGAAACGGGCGTCACCATCCAACTTGACCCAGAATGGCTTGTACTGAGCGCATCATCAAAACCTCGCGACGAGCCGTCCATCGGATGATGCGTCCTCATAGGTGACCGCATAGACGATACGCCCGATGCGGAGGCCGGCGTTTCCGATCCAAGACTGGACTCCAGGTGCTGCGAAGAGTGTCTGCGACTCATCTTCGCGTGCATGCGATGGCGCTGTCTCGTGACCTTCTCGATCCGTTCTAGGAACTGTCTTCGCCATTTCTTGGGCAGCGGTACAGCGTTTCGGAAAGTCTTATCGGCGGCGAGAGACTCCACGTCCTCCAGATTAACCACCACAACACATGACGAAAGAAGACGGAGATCGTTGCCACACTTCTTGGAAAACGCCAAACAGCTCTGCCACGTCTCGGCCGTAGCACCTAGTAAAAACGGAGGCTCTTCGTCCATAGGCTCTGCTGCAACGCCGGATGTCGTGGCGATGGTCCCACTGCTGCTTTGGCTGTCACTGCTTCCTCGCGATGAGAAGTATGAACTGCCGCTCCCACTACTCCATGCCCGCCAATCGTGCGAAAGTCGAGAGAATGACCGGCGACTCTTTGGTCGAGACGCAAGCTTCGTCTGCGCATGCTGATAAGCAGCATCGTACAGAAATCTCCAAGACGTCACAGGTACGAAAGGCAAGAACGTGTGCTGCCATTGAAACGGCTCAAGCAGCTTCAACAGACTCGTGGTCACCTCCTGAATCTGCGGATACGAGTTACCCACCACCACAACAGAACTCTCCAGCAGCAGCACCCCCAATAGCTTCACCAATAATTTTGCGCCAAGCAATCGCATTGTGCGCAAAACTCCAGCACCAATTGCAGCTTCTTCGGCCTCCATCATATCGTACTCGGACACATACCAATCTGGTCGAGGAATCTCAAGACGCCACGTTTTCGTATCACCCTTCTGCACATGGAAAACCTTGTACTGAAGTTTTCCATGCATTCCAAAATGTACGCGCGCTCCCGGGGCGTAACCGTATCCAATCGAAAGCACAAACTGACCGTCTTGAATCAACGCGTGGGAGTTCATACGTGACACATCGAAATCCAGCATACCGTTAGGGTTCCTAGTGTTCACATCAGATAACGCTTGAGTCCCGCCTGGTGTTACAACCGGAGCCCCAGACGTGTTGTCTCCGCCGTAGTATAGTACAGCAATCTGCTGCGGGTCAAAAGCATCCAGTAACGTTCGGAGGTAGCGCAAATTCCACGACCGAAAATCGGACGTCCCAAACTTTCCTCCTGTATACTTCGACTTTGCATCCCGCCACAGATTGAAGATCCACCATAGTTTCTCAGACTGCACTTCGTCGAAATCACACAAACCAATGGCACCGTTTGAGCTGCTGCCTTCATCAAGTCCAAAGCAATTACTTCGCCGCAATACAAAGTCTTCTCCGGACGGTAACGCCTTCAGATCGCCCAGATCGACAAACTTTACAGACGATGTACGCTTCATCGCGTTCTCATGACTCTCGCCCAAATCGGCGAGACTTCCCAAATCACGTGGAAGCCCATCGGCCTGTCGCGAGAGCGTCGACGTAGCAGTGGGAGACAGACGTTGCGCCACTTCCGGCTGTGGAGCCGAACGTGACCGCTCTCGAGTGTATTGTCGCGGCCTACGTTCGCCACACTTTTTTGCTCCGGTATTGCCGCTAGTCATAGTCCCCTGCTTCCCGGCAGCCACAGACGAGGGCGGCGGGAAGTTCGACCGTTCGCTCAATGAGGCCAAGCCCGTTCGAGGTGTCGCCGAGCTTTTTAGACCGCCAAGCCCACCGCACGAGACAGCGCTCTGCTGGTACGGTGACGAGGTGTTTGACGCCAACAACTCCGATATGGACGACATGGACTGATTCTTCTTGTGACCAGCTCGCTTTCCTCCTGCTACCCCGGCACTCACTGGAGAAGGCGTAGATACCTGCTTTTCTCTCCTACTCAATTGCGGTGACGGCAAAGGAATTGCAGCAGAAAACGACGACGATCTTGAGTTACTGCTGCCCACACTGGAGACAGAGACGCTGGAGCCAGATGGTCCGGCTGCTAATGCTGCTGCCGGGTTCGATATTGATCCACTTGGAGGTAGCCGATCGTGAGACCTTTGCAGTGCTCGAAACGTTCGCAGCTGGTGCACGATGCTGCTCAAACACATTCGGGCACTTAGTAGTTCGTCAAGATGAGCGTGCAAAACTTCTTGAACGTAGTCGGGCACACGCTCAAACTGCTGAATCTGGCAGGCTGTGAAGATCAATTGCATTGTCATCGCTTCAAGCTTCACGATGAACCCTTCACTGAAGTTGAGAATCGGAACCAAGCAAAAACGGCCCTTGTGCGGCCCTCGGGCGTACGGCATCGTAAAACTACTTCCAAGTCCAGACGACTGCAGCACGTTTGCCTCGGCGACATCATGAAACGCCACGCGCCGGAAAAACACACCCTTCATTATACAAACAGCTTCTTCCCAAAACGCTGTCGCTTCTTTCAAGTGCTTCTCGCGCTTATATGCGGAAATGCGCTCCAGCCACACCCAAACCTCACTGCAAAAAATCAGCGTCTGGAGGAAACACGTCGGACTAGCTATTTGTTCTGCCAAATCCAACGCCGACCGAAGCAGTTTTTGCGCCTCCAGCAACGTCTTCCGCGTCTTTTCAATCGAATCGTCACTATTCAGATCATCGAGTTCCAGTACAAAGGATCCTTTTCGGTACCGCTGACGGTGCAAATGCGTCTTCAGCATCTCGTCGTCCTGGTTGCTGCCTAGAGCAAAAAATGATCGCTGGATTGGAGCCAGCATAAAGGCGACAATCTCCAGCAAAACCTTGAGCTGATATAAGCTGTCGTCCAGAAGGCGGTATAGATCAAAGGCAGTCCAAAACGCGGTTTGCGCTTGCTCTTCAGCTTGACCACTATCTTGAACGCACGTTCCATACTGGACCATTCGCTCATGCAGGCGCTGTTT